GAGCTCGTAGAACTCTTGATACTGCGCTAGTAGTAGTGCTCGTACGTTTACAGGCTTCTTGGGTTGTAGCGCCTTATCGATATCTGCGATCGACGCGGCGAAGATCTGAACGCTGTTCGGAGCGTTCTTATGTCTGCGAACTAGGGCCGCAAACGCTGCAGCGTTGACTTGGCTAACTCCTCCTAGTAGAGCCCCTTTGGTTGACCTCACTCGAATGCCCTTCGAGTGGATAAAAATGCTCTTCTTAGCGGGGGCTACTGACACGTCCTAGTGGTTCATCTATCCTCTACTAAGGTATACGTCCTCACTAGAGGACAAATTCATCACATATGCGTAGGCAGTCTCTTCGTACCCATGCATCTTGAACGAGAATTGGGCAACCTCATTAATCTCCGATAGCTTGCCATTCACCCCCTCGATCATTCGAGCAGGTATTTGAAAGCGCTCTAGACGGTGGCGGTAAGCGAATCTCTTGCTAATTAGTGCATAGCATAGGCATCCGCAGTCAATAAGCGCGACAGCGTTTACCACGTTGTTCACGATAAGATCTACGGTGATTGGTGGGGGACGCATATGCTTCTGCTAAAACTGATTCCATTCGCTACGTGTCTGCCGATCCATCTTCAGAGGCTCTGGGCCGAGACTCTGGCCCAGAGCTACTCTTTTTCCGAGTCGCTATCGTCTGGGCATTCGATCTGTTTCTAGCGTCTCTGCCCTTCGCTTGGGGGAACGGCTCTCTTAACCTGAGTGGTGTTCAGATAGTTTCTAGCGATGTGGCCCAGTTCGCCGCAGCTGTAGCAGTCTAGTGGGGACCGCCTTGGTCTATCCTTCGTTTCCCGTGCCCAATTGGCCTTCGAGGGCTCCCAGTCCATCGCTTCTGGACTAGCATCTCGCTAAGCGACCTTTGGGGGAGCTTGCGCATGACTGTAGGCCGCGTTCCTTCGATTCCTCCCGTGCAACTAGATCTGGTATAGGTCATTAGAAAGCTTGATTGCCTTGTCTATATATTCCTTTAGACTTCTGTTCTTTAGAGTATGGAGCATTAGCTTTTAGAGCTCTTCTTCAAGTCTCTTACTAAACATCTCACAAGCTACTACTAGGCTAAACTGCTGTCAGGACTCTACGCGAAGCTGGTTAAACTCCGAGACATAGTCGCGTATTAGTCGTCGTCCTTGCTTTAAGTGCCAAAGCTTGTTTAGCGCACGCTGCTGCTGGTGCACGTCTTGGAAGTGAGTATCCATGTGCTCCCATAGGCCGGCCGTAGTTCGTTCCTTATTCTCAAGCACCCAGGGAAGAAGGACCTAGTTTGCTTTGCCCTTCGTTCGACTAAGCACGTATTGGACCTTTGCGTCCTCCGTTGGGAACATAGCGTGGTCGTACTCTAGCTTCCCTTCGCACTCAAATTTCTAACCTAGGTAGTTATCACGTGTCCCATCAAAACGCTCTAGGTCGGGAAACTTATTCTTGCGGGCTGCTGGCTCGGCGACTGTTGTTAGCGGTGGTGGAGGAGTGTCGACTCTTGGGGATGACTCCGAACGTCCTTCGGCTTGGTTCCTCTCAAGTGCCTCTAGGCGACTAGCCATTGGGCTGAGCAGCTGCATCATCTGCTCCATTACTTGGGCCACGGCGTTCTGATTAGCTTTTGGTGAGCCCTCCTGCCTTAGTGAGCCCTTCACCCCTACGACTGATGATCGCTTAACGACTGCTTCGATCGTTGGCCCAATCGCTGCTTCCTTCCATCCGTCCTCTCTCAGCATCTGCGTGATCTCACGCAGGATCTCTTCGTCCGGGACTCCTGCCTGGCTCTTAGTGGTGGCGTTAAGCCGCTAGCTCTTCAACGTTCAAGTTAGGAGCGTTGGCCTCCATTGTCTAATTCGTCTTCAGACGTCTCTTGTCTTTGCCTGCTGGTGTGCAGGGCTTCTAATCGTCCTTTGATCCGCTCGCGCAGTCCTTGACTGCGGCCTACTCCTTGTTAGTGAGGACTAGTAGGGCTTACCTTCGGCTGTACTTCTCTTCTAGCTAGTTCTAAACAGCGTTTGGCTGCTGTCGTGTCGCGTCCCTAGGAAGACTCGCGTCTTGCCATCTCGCTCGTGGGATCTCGTCTCTAATTGAGAGTAATCGCACGGCCTGCACCCCGTCCGATAGAGGATTGACAGGACTTCTCACTACAACGTCCGCTTCTAGCTAACTGTACGCTAGGCCCGAGTGGCCTTTAGGTAGTTTATCACGCGACGTTGCGCCTACGGCTCGGCTTTCCAAGACACGGTAGGACTTCCTAGACAGGTCCTGGGCGACTAAATCGCCTACTGTCTCTCACGGCTGAACTTCCTGCGAAGCTCTGCCCTAGGTGTACTGTCTTGCGACGGTCTACCTTCTCGCTGCACTGAAGGCCTTTCGTACCTATTGCAGCACTAACTCCGTGTTACTAGCTCGCACTAACAACACGCTCTAAAACTTAGTTAGAAGACAGTCCGCCTAAGGCTTATGTCTAATTAGAATTAAATATAAAATGTAAGAGGCTGCGCTTTAGGGAGTAATCGCAAAGTATACAAGAGGTTGTATTCAATAAAGAGCTATAGAGTCTACTTGCGTGGTGTTTATTTACTTGTCGGAGAAAGGTTGCACCAAGTGTCTGAGCGCGTCGTCTGGGCGCCGCTCAGGCCTCGCACAGATGCCGGGTTGCAGAGTAAGACCTGGCGTCTGCTGCTTGACCGAGATTCCATCGAGGAGCTATCCCAAAGGGCGTTCAGCCCGTTACAATTAGCCACGTCTGTAAGCCAAGAGGGAAATCCACGCGTAACTAGCTTAAGTATATGCTTAACAATTACGTCCTTTTTAAACTTAGTTGGATTTCTTGTTTTTAGCTAGCGATCTGCCTGTAAAGGTTGTCTGTCGCGTCTTTGGCTTAGTGTTGTTTAATCTACGTTATAGATAGCTGTGTAAGAGGCTACGCCTAAAGTGTGTGTGTGATCAAGTATATCTATACGACTACCTAGACTTCAAGAAGCTTGAAGTCTTGTTACTGCCTTTTTGGCTATGGATGGCGTAAGTAGTCGTACGCTCGGCCCGTTGGGCCCGCCCATTACAAGCTGCAGCGCGTTGTAGAGAGAGAGTTGTATCTTGTTTAAGAGCTTAAAGAGCAAGCTGTATCTAACATTCACTAGAGGGCTGTAACTGCTATTGTTGTTGCGACATTAGGGTAGGGTAGTAGTTTTGGTGAGGGCTTGGCAAAAGTGGCTCGCGAACCCGTGTGGCTCGCGAAGCCGTGGGGTACGTTAAGAGGCGCTACGTATAGGTAGAGAGGTTCTAGATAGTTAGCTAAATAGCTAATTAGATTACTAAGGCAAAGGGTAGTAGCTATAATAATAGTGCAACGTCTATAAAGAGGGTGCGTATTAAATAGCGCTACAGGCGTTGCAGCTAAATTAGATATTACTTTTGCACTTATTAAGTAGAATTAGAGGATATAGAGAATGGTAATACGTTTAAAGAATAATATCTTATTCTACTTAATAGAAAATATTATAGTGGTGTTGCGTAATACTATTACAAAGATGTAATAGTTTAGGGAGGTGGCCTATATACTAGGGTGGCCCGCTTACTAGTGAAACGCGTTATACTAAAAGTCTATATATAGCTTATTTAAGCCTAAAAGAGTAATATAAAAAACTTTTATACTATATCATATAGATTTTGCTTAGTTGGTTAATATAGTATTATAAATATTACAAATATAATAACTTTATATTTAAATTATAAAATTTTTTATAATTAAAATATGTTATCTACTTTATATAGTTATTTAATATATAAAAGAAAGAAAAAAGGATAGTACTAAAAAAAAGTTATATAGTTATATATTTATAAATTTTTTTCTTTATATTTTTATATATATATCTCTTTATAGCAGCTTACTAAGTGAAAAGTAAGTCTACTACGCTAAACTACTAGCTTTCTATATTTTAAATCTATGCCTTACCTATTTTAGCTATCTAAATAGTAGAGTTATTTAAGTTTTAAAATCTCTATTTGTTTAAACATTTTTTTTTAATGTCACCCCTCTGTATGAGTTCCACAGCTTTGATGTATTCGTAGAACCAAGTAATCATTTCCATTTCCGTTACGATACATTCGCTAAATCGGATTTCACATCCCCTCATCCCTTGCGAAGCAACATCAAATGCCCGCCTGCACTCACCGTATCCGCTGGCTTAACCAGCAGCTTCTCCACCGTTAGCTTACCGTGGCTTGCGATTGAATCGGGCGTCTTGACGGCAATTTCCAATTTCATGGCTTCGAGAATCACGAGCTGTGTTTGCGTCGTTAGTACGTCTTTTTTCAATATGGCTGGTGCATAGTAATGTCCAAACTTACCACTGTGGTACCATCAACCGTATCGCCTTCCTTAACCTCGACCTTCCAGACATTGGCGTCAACGGGTGCCTCGACACCAATGATATTAGGATCATCCAGCATCTTTTCAACCGTACTCTCATCGACCTGATTCCCGGCCTTCTCCTTCCTCCAGCGCTCCAGACTCTCCTTTTCAGCCTTTGTCATTTCCTCCTGCGCAACGGCCTGTCTTTTTCTGATCTCGCGGACTTCTTCCTTGGTCTGTTCCAGCAGCGCATTGTGCTCGGCCATGTCGAATTTGATTTCTTCGTAGTTCCATTGGTACTTGCCGGCTCGGAACTTTGCCAGCAAGTCGTCAAGCTCCTGCTCACTGACCTGGTAGAATGTAATGATGTCGAAGTCGCGGAAGATCCAGGGCTTGTCGCCGAAACCGGGCTTGTAGAAGTAGTAGTCCCAGCACGGCAGGGTTCGACCGTTCATTTGGTACCCGCCGGGAGAGTCGACGGGATAGATGGACATGCAGCTTCCACCCCAACCAACTGTACCTTCGGGGGTGAAGACGCGGCTAGGATTCATCTTGGGAGAGGAAAGACGCTGGCGAGGGTCTACAGGTAAAGAAACTGTGTTTCCACAATAGAAACCGATGACGACAGCCATAAATTGGCCACGCAAGTAGATGTCTTTCAACTGCTCGGGAGTGAAGGCGTTATTTTTGGCTACGAAAGCAAGGTTATCGGGGAGGTAAGGTGCATGGGGCCGCTGGTTGGCCATGTATCGTTCAGTAGCCTCCTTTTGGGCTTTGGACTCGAAGGAGATGGGTAGCTTGAAGACACGCGTGGGCACTTTCATGCTTCTTAGATCGCCAAGCTTGGATTCGATGGCCTGCAGATGAGCGATGAGATACGCTCGAGGAATCTTGGTCCCGTCGTAATGAAGGAGGAGCGAAGTGCAGCAACCGACAGTATTGTGAATGTTTGATCGAATGGTTTCAGGCGTCGCGTCAGAGTGAATGGCGTTTTCGAGAGCGGTAACGCGACAGCGGTGGTTGAGATCAAAGTTCTCGTTACCGTATTCGACCAACAGATGGTCATCTCCTCCTTGACGATATCTCACCTGTGGAATGTTTCCGTCGGCTGGCCTTTCCCACAGAACAGCTTTCCCAATCTCACCCATGTGGAACTCGCAGTGCGCACCCTGTAGTTTGCTGGCGCCTCCAAATACGCCGCCTTGGCTGATGGCTTGCTCAATAGAGTCAAGATAGTGTCCATTCCATCTTCTCTTCTTCAAAGCGTCGTCGAGTCCAACCCGAATGTACTTGATAGTGTTACCTGCCTTGATCTGTCCTAGCTTCCACCAGTCGGCTTTGATGACTGTCGTACTGCTCGTGAAGCCACCAAAGTTGGGGCAGTCGACTGGAAATATGCATGGGTCGTCCCCTGTCCAATTCAGGGTGCCTAGAGGATAGCCGTACTCAACCAGGTTACTGGGATGGGAGCCACCTTCGCCGCCATCTTTGCGCGCCCATTTTGGTACGGGACCAATTAGGCGAATGCCACTTCGCGAAGCATTGTGGGATACCTTCCACTCAGTATCGTAGATTTTCGAAATGAATTCAGGTTCGAAATAACCTTCGTCGTGAGGACCGACCATAGCCATAATCTCCCATTTGGATTTGTAGACTGGACGTAGGTGCTCAGGGACGGTGACACTCTGGAAGGTCTCTGGAAGCTTGTCTGTGATTTTCAGCAAATCACTCGGCGCAAGTGCACGTCCTTGATATCCCCCTATGGCAACCTGCGGAGACGTTGATTTCGAGCCAAAGTAATCTGCTACTGACGGAAGCCCGCCGTAGATGGCCAGATAGGAACGGCAGCCACCACCTGTAGTTTTACCAATCTTGAGCCTCTGCCCAGCCTCAATCTTTACGTTTGCCCACATGGGAAACTCTTTGCCATCCAAGCTAGCTTCCATCGGCGCACCGCACAGAGCCACAATGGCAGGGCCGACGAATCGCAGCTCTGGTCCACTCAGGGTGATTTCCAGTCCTTCTGTTGTTCTGGGGTTTCCTACGAGCATGTTCGCTATCTGGAATGCGATGGGATCCATTGGCCCCGCATGAGGTACGCCCTTGCCGACGTTTGGTCTTCCAGGGAGGTCCTGGACAAGAGTGTATGCACCCGCAGATATCACGTCGATAGCATACGGTGTGTACTGGAAATCACTGAGGAAGCTAGTCATGGTGTTGCCGTCCTTGAAACGAGTATCTTCAAGAATACTCGCAAGAAACTCAAGGTTTGTTGGGGGCCCGTTTACTGAGGATTGAAAAAGGAGCTCCTTCATGGATGCGATTGCGCCGTCTCTGGATTGAGAGTGAACCATTGCCTTGGCTATCAGAGGATCTATGTACTATTAGCTTGACATGCAGACATCACACAGCATTTAGAAAGGTGCCGTCATACCGTAATTTGGAGTGATTCGAACACCAGTAAACACCCACGTGTCAATTCGACTACCCGGGACGTCCTTCCACGCCACCTTCTGGAGCAAACCAGGCGAAGGAGCATAGTCCCTGAGTGGGTTCTCAGCATAGATGCGAGCCTCGATAGCCGATCCAATAGGGCCCGAAGGCTGCATGTCTTTCAACATCTTCCCATCAAGACCGTGTCTTCCTGCAAGCCGTGCATCTGCCTGCTTGAGCATGAGCTCCACCAAGTCGACGTTGTAGCACAGCTCCGTAATGCCATGCTCGACCTGGAGTCGAGTGTTCATTTCGAGAAAGAAGAAGTCTCCAGACTTGTCGTCGACCAGGTATTCAATGGTTCCAGCAGACCCATACTTGATCGACTCGGCGAGCCGCACAGCTGCGTCGCCCAGCTTCTTGCGCAACTCTGGGTGCTTTTCCACAAACGGGCTGGGACACTCTTCAATGACCTTTTGGTGCCGTCTCTGGATGGAGCACTCGCGCTCGCCAAAATGAATCGCCTGGCCCTGTCCGTTGCCAAAGACTTGGACTTCAATGTGGTGACTGGCAGGATAGAATGCCTCGATGAAGACGCCGAGGTTCTTGAACAGTGTCTTGCCCCTCGACTGCACCATGCGGAATCCGTCACGTACCTCCTCAACCTTGTGACAAGTGATGAGACCCATGCCGCCACCGCCTCCCGTTGCCTTGAGCATGACGGGAAAGCCGATGCGTTGGGCCTCTTTGGCAGCGGCGTCTTCATCCTCAACCAGCCCCTTTGTTCCAGGGACAATAGGAACATTGGCTGCCTCTGCAAGCTCTCTTGCAGTATGCTTGACGCCAAAAGCCTCGATGGCTTCGGGTGAAGGGCCCACCCATGCAATTCCGGCATCAGTTACTAGCCGTGCAAAATGTGCATTTTCAGATAGGAATCCGTAACCGGGGATGATTGCATCTGCGCCCTTGTCCTTTGCGATCTGCAGGATGGCTTCTCCGTCTGTATACGCCGTCGCATTGCCACCTGGCAGCAGCACTGCATCGTCGGCATCCCGGACATGCTGGGACGCTGCATCAGCCCCGGAGAAGATGGCAATAGTCTTGATGTTGAGCTTCCTCGCAGTTTTGCATATGCGAACCTGCGATGCATGACGTCAGTGCTCCATGTCCCACCTCGGAAATGGTTCCGCCGCTGGCAAAACAACCACACATACCGCGATCTCGCCGCGATTCGCTATCAGCAGCGTCTTCAACTTGTCCATGGTCGCGCACGGCCAGATGTACTCGCGAATCTAACGGCTTTATATCACATTGCTGCGCGGATTGGGCGGATACGACGCTGAGATGAGGCCGACTGTTTGAGGCATATGCCCATGTTTATCTCCAATCACCCCACCTCTCCCGCGTGCCCCCGCCTGTCCCCGCTGTTGGAGTAAGGGACGTTACAATTGCCACCCAGAGCGGCTGGCAACCTATCGCCGGTATTCCGATGATGATAACGGCGTCTCCGAGGTATCGCAGAGGGCGGGGTCACGAGTAACCCCTCGAGATCGTGACGTCCTCGGCGCGTGAATGGCGTCTGGCGGTTGGCGTCTGGCGGGGTAAGTTGGAGACGACACGGGTGGTGATAGAGAATCGGGCAAGGCGACTATTCTAGCATTATCTAACGATACCAAATACATACTTATTCCTGGAACCCAGTCTCACTCCAAGTACTACCACACGTCAACCCCCCTCCTTAGCTTACAATGCCCGCAATCAAGCACTCCGTCAAGATCAACGTCGACCTAGGCGAAGGCTACGGCAACTTTAAATGCGGACCAGACGATGAGCTGATTCCTCTGATTGACCATGCAAATGTAGCCTGCGGCTTTCACGCTGGGTGAGTCTAACCCTGCTCACAAAAGAAATAAAGAAAATACTACAAAGTCTTGCTATAACCATAAGGCCAAAGATGACTTTCTAACTCCCACAGTGACCCCCTAATCATGCAGCAAACAGTCCAAATGTGCAAAAAACACAACATAGCCATTGGCGCACACCCCGGACTCCCGGACATCCAAGGCTTCGGGCGGCGCGAGATCAAAATGTCTCCCGAGGAGCTCACAGCCGCCGTGCGGTACCAAGTCGGGGCGCTGAAAGGCTTTCTCGATGCTGAAGGCTTGCCCTTGCACCACGTGAAGCCGCACGGCGTGCTCTACGGGATGATGTACCGAGACCGAGAAGTGTGTCGCGCCGTGTATGCAGGTGTACCTGCGGGCACGACTGTATTCGGGCTTGCGGGCACGCTGCACGAGGAGGTGGCACAGGAAATGGGGTTGAAATTTGTGGCCGAGATCTACGGCGATGTCAAGTATACCAAAGACGGGATGTTGGTTATTGATCGGAAGAAGAAGTATGAATCTTTTTTTCTCGTTCATACATTTACTCTTTTGTCTGTTTGCCTTTTTGTTTTACATTACTAACTTATATCCCTGCATCAAGGCCGTGGCACCCAGACGAGACGAGGAAACACGTCCAAAGCCAAGTGGAAAACGCGACCGTTACAGCAGTCACAGGCGAGGAGGTACAGCTTCCACTTGGCGATTACCAAGTTTCGCTGTGCTGCCACTCCGACTCGCCCGGTGCAGTTGAGATAGTCAAAGCAGCACGGGAAATTGTCGACCAGTTCAACCACAAGTACTACCCGGACTCTTCATGAAGAAGACTGTAAACATCTTCTCGCAGGAGACAAAGGCAGGACCTTCGCCTGATTTGTGCCGTGTGTGTACTTGTGAGGAAAATCAGTCTGTGTGAGAGGGACAGGGAGAGAGAAAAGCTACGGATGAAAGGGTTCGGAAAAACGGAATGGTAATTATTAAATCACGTAACGTACCCCACGGCTTCGCGAGCCACACGGGTTCGCGAGCCACTTTTGCCAAGCCCTCACCAAAACCAGTACATTATGTCCTAAAACAGCCCAACTTTAGCTAATATAGTGCAATAAAATACAAAATGCTATTTAGAGACTACTTCTGCTACATTCTTACAAGTTCGCGCGTTATGCCTAGTCCTATTGCACTGTCCACACCACCGTTAAGACGGTTCACCCACTTTAGCGCGCTTCTGCTTCTTTAACTTCTTTCTATTACTACGCACCCTAAAGTCCTAGAGAGCAGTTAAGCGCGCCCTATCTTCAACTGTTAAGGTCCTCTTCGCCTAAACCCGCTTTCTTTTATGCGATTTTTGTCGCGTTGCGGCCTTATTTACTACTTTAAGCTCAACCGCCTACTGCAATTCTTTTGCAACTACTCTGACGTTCTAGATCCCTCGCGCTGTCGAGATATCTAGAGTTGAAAGAGAAAGTGCGCTGATTATACGTGTCCTATACACGCCTATCACACACCAACGTCAAGTTTTCTAGAATAGGTGTAATTTTCGTTAAATATATACAAATCCCTTACAAGAAACTAATTATAGCAAGTTTTAAGACGTGCAGCGTGCGCGCTGTGGAGCTATAAGCTATAAGAGCAGATAGTTGAGACACGTCTTACACTCAAAAACAAAAACACACAGACCACTCTGCTTAGTAATAAGAGAACCCCAGCAACAGAATGCCACCAGAAAGCGATACTATCG